TGTAAATCCAAACCACAATGAGATATCGCTTCACACCTGTTAGAATGGCTTTCATCAATAAGACAAGAAACAACATGTGTTCACGAGGATATGGAAAAAAGAGAACCCTCCTACACTGTTAGTAAATTGGTGCAGCTACTATGAAAAACAGTATGGAGGGTCCTAAAAAAAATTACAAATAGAACTACTATATGATACAGCAATCTCACTTTTGGGTATTTATTTGAAGAAAGTGAAAATACTAATTTGAAAATATACATGCACCCCTACATTCACTGTAGCATTATTTACAATAGCAAAGATATAGAAACAACCTAAGTGTCCATCAATATTATGAAGAAGATGTGGCCTACACACATGAGCACATACGTGCACACGCCCATACACATACACACACACACACACACACACGCACACACAATAGAATCCCACTCAACCATAAAAAAGAAGGAAATCTTGCTATTTGTGACAACATGGATGGACCTAAAGGGTATTATGCTGAGTGAAATAAGTCAGACAGAGAAGGACAAATTCTGTATGATTTCACTTACATGTGGAATCTAAGAAATGAAACAAACAAAATGAAACTCACAAATACAGAGAACAGATTGGTATTATCAGAGGAGGAAGAGGGTCGGGAGGTGGGCAAAATGGGTGAAGGGGGTCAATTCTATGATGGTGGATGGTAACTAGACTTATCATTGTGATCACTTTGTACTATATAAAACTATCAAATTATTATGTTGTACACCTGAAACTAATATGTTATATACCAATTTTACCTTAATTAAAAAAGATAAAAATAAAAAGGAAAATATCAGTGGACAACCTGATTTCTGGAACTTCTCTTCCAATCTAGCTTAAATGTCACTACTGTATTGATTGTCCCTGAAACGAAGTTTTCAAAAGGCTCCAAAAATCTAAAGGGTCATATCCAAGGATCTCGGCATAGCGTTCAAGTCCCTCTACAGTGTGACCTCACCAGCCTTATTGCCCACTCTGCTCTATAGTACACCATGGGCATCCTATTCTGGTTTTTGCCCTGGAATGTCCCAAATCTCCTATCTACCCCGCATCCATTCTGTAAGGCCCTGCTCCACAGCCACCTTCTCCAGGAAGCCTTTCTGGCTAAACAACTCTAGGCGAGTCTCCTCTGAATTGGATTATTCCATCATGTGGCCCTTCATTAAATGCTACTTTGATAAAGATGTTGTGTAGCTCTTCTGTACTCATATTTCACTGTGCTTTAGTGCATCGCTGGTTTGACAGGATCAGAGGCAGATAGATCAAGGTCAGCAGGCAATGTCTGACAGGCTGCTTGCAGGAATGAGTCCTAAGGCTTAACCCAAGAGATCGGTGATCAAGGAGTAGTCAGCACAAAACACTGTCAAAGACTATAACAACCTGAAGGCACAGAATCAGGAGGTGGGGAGCTGAGAAAGGAGACAGGTCCAAGCTGAAGAGAGACTAGAACAGATAACAGGGGTGTGTAGGCTGTGGAAGCAGCAGATGAGAAACAGCAGGATGAGCGAGGTGCGGGGCTGGGCTGCAGCGAACACTCACTGGCTAGAGCTGGGTTCTGCATGAATCTCATTCTTTTACTGTGGCATGGCTGGCTGGCCGCCACTTGCCTGGCATCGAGCCTCTCCAGATTAGCTTTCTGATGAGGGCTCCTCAAGGGGACCACATATGTACTTTTCATCCCCACACTGCCAGGGCCTTAAGAAAACGTGCCAAATGAATGTGTCTCTGAGAACTCTCCATTCTCTTCTTCCTCAGTTGTGGTTACCCCCTTTCTGGCTGTCTGGGCCACACCTAACAACCGCAGCTCCTCCATCTGGGATACTTGCATGTTGACAACCAGAGAATCTGAAAAGAGAGTTCCCTTCTTGCTTTCTGACGGCAGAGAGAAAATGATCAATTTAATTTTTTTGTGCCCTGTCAACATTACACAGAGAGGGCACCCTCTGGCCTTAGCGGTGAGTTCAAAACTTGTACTGAATCTTGAAAAGCTCATGATTTCTCCTATGAGACTGCTGTTCTGTGCCTAGGCACCCCCACTACCCACCCAAAAGTGTCCCCAGAAGCACCACACATGGTACAGGGAGGGCATAGACTGCCACTCTCAAATTAGCTATGCATTACATGCAGACCATCCTTTGGTAATTTATTAGTTTCAGTTGGCCCCATGGCCTTTGCACTGACCACTAGGAGTGCCTGCCATCGTGCTGAACCCCACATCCAGGAAAGGAGAACCCAACTCCCTATCTTGGAGAGGAAGAGATTCTGCTCCACTGACACAAGCCTGGAAATGTGGAGAAGCCTCCTGACCGAGCAAAGTGGCTGAGTAAGGCCCAGAACCTAGCTCCACTCTCTGGGACAACTGTCAGTCTTCTAAGCCCCTGTACAAAACGGCACTTACTTGACCAACACTTTTATATCTACATACTCTGCTTTTTAGTTATTTCCAAATGTAAATCTCGTCTTATCCACTCAAGACCAGCACTGGGCCACCCTTCTGGTTTCTTTATATCCCACCAAGCTCAGTACAGAGAGTATTGGTGGCTAGTTGGAGCTTGAGGAATAGAATCCTATGCATTTAAATCTATTCCATCTTTTTTCCAAAAAGGATTTAAGGCAGCTTAAAAAGTACACGATATAATTCAATAAAAACATATGAAAATATCCCCCTGAAGGGAAAACAAGGAAGAGAAAATGAAGCTAGTGGTAAAGGCATGCACAGAAATGGTCAGTTTTGCAAAATTGCTAAAGGTTAAAAATTCACCTCCGGGTTTTCTAGGGACTAAAGCAAAAAAAGAATTGTGGTCTGTAATGAAATTCAAAGTATACAAAAGATGAAAGAAAAAAACAAAAACAAAAATCCACCACCTGCTCAAGAGAAGTTCAGCCTTGGCCGGGTACTTGGTAATTTCCTGAGCATAGATTCCTACAAGTGGGATTTTTAAATTAAAGGGTTTAGGGATTTTTTAAGGCCTCTGGTATATATTGCCAATTGCTCTCCTGAAAGGCTGTCCTGATTTATATTCCTACTAGCTGTCTGCTCTCTTTCCTACACTGTGGATTATCTTTTTTTTTTTTGAAGTGGGGTAGGTGGAGAGGAAGGGAGTGCTTAACAAATGTGATAGATACAAAATCAGTATTTTCATCTGTAATTCATAAAACTAAATTATGCTGAATATTTTTCATATCCGTTCTGACTATTCGTCGGAAGAACTGCCTACCTCCTATCTTTGGTGTCTAAATTTTCTCTCTTTTGGACTAGTATCTGGGAAGAGCTCTTTTTCTATGAAGGATAGTGACTCTTTGTCATACATGCTATTAATATTGTTGGTTGCCTTCGTTAAAGCTTTTTGACATTTAAAAGTTTACCTTTTTTTGATTGTAAAATCAAATTTTCCTTTTTTTACTGTTAGTTAAATATTTATTTATTCTGTGCCCAACACTGAAACGTCCCAATTTTACTGATAAAAGAGAAGTCAAATAACTTGCTCAAGGTCACTTAGCAGTAGAGAGGGTCAGTCCTCAGCAAACAAACATTCGTTGAGTATGAATGAATAAATGAATTAAGAGACATGAAGTTTTACTCAGCCCCATGAAGTGGCAATTCAACCCTCGGTTCCTACCTCAAGGCACACATGTTTTAAGTCTCTCTGCAGGCAGTGCTGCAAGGAAAGAAGCCAGTGACACTGCCTTTAAGTTACTCAACTTGGTGCCATTCCTCTGAACCAGTGAACAATAATAGCATGCCATGCGACTTCTGTTTAGAAAGGGAACAGCCTTCACCTTTTTTATTAATAGGAGGCATGAGCCACCGATGTTCTCAAAGGATTACTAGACTGTAAATACCCAAAGTGTGGTCCCTGGATCAGCAGCATCGGCATCGCCTGGGGGCTTGCTACAAATACGGGATCTCGGCCCTAGCCCAGACCCACTAAATCAGAAACTGCATTTTCACAAGACCCCCAGGCAATTCTTACGTACATTTCAAACCGAGGAGCACCGATTTAAAATTAAGTATTAATTTTTTGAAGCTTTAGCTCCAAACAAAACCATATGCTTACTCTAAATGTTGAAGAAAAAGGTTAAAGAATCTGATATATATTCTCTCATAAGCTGTGGAATTTGTGGGTAAATCTTAATGTGTCTTTTTTTTTTTTCACTCCCTATAACACAAGGGGCACTGAGAACTCAAATATCAGCTGTATCTGTCTAGGCCTGACCAAGATCTGGTACTATTGATACAAAGGGAGTTGAGTTTTACTCTTAACAGGCCAGTTAAGTGCTTCATCAAGAAAACACCTAGCTAGGTAAAGGCTAGAAGGAGGTATTCACATTATAAAGAAGAAAAACACAGTTTGTCTCACTAAAAATCATTATTTCGGGGGGGTGGGTGGGAACCTCATTATGATTAGTAGTTCTCCAAGTCCTGGTTTTTGACACTCTTCAGGAAATCAATTTTCTCACCTAAAAGGTAATATCCACTCAGTCTTCGCTTGTATGCTTCAGGAACCATGAGAAATGCCCAATATACATTATCCTTTTAATGCTCCCAGCAACTCTGTGTGTCAGAGATTTTACTGTGCCCGTTTCGCAGATGAGTAAACTGAGACTCAAAGAGTCTGAGTGATGGAACAAAGAGCACTCTCAGGTCTGTTTGACAGTAAAACCCTTGGGGTAGGGCTTCGGCCGAGTTATTGGGAAGCACGCGCTCCATGGTCTGACCACATCAGAACCTTCTAGGCCGGGCGGTGCGAAGCAGCTGCCTCATCTGGACAAGCACTTTGCTTAAAAAACAACTTCAGTGATTTATCATGTACATACCATAAAATTCAATGCATGTAATTTTTAATATGGTAAAGAAAGTGAACAGTCATAAAAATAAAGATGTTCTTTATTTTCTCCCTAAAAGGAAAGCCAAAGACATGGTAAGCCTGGATGAGCAGGCTTCCAGGGAGTCCCCTGGAGTCTGGAATGCCTACCTTGGATGCCATACAGGCGGTTGAGACGTGACCGCCGGGCCTCGTCGGTGTAGGGGACAGCGAGCCAGGGCATCTCACTGAAGTACTGTTTGAATGAGTCCTCTGACCTATAGAAACACATATGGAAACAAGGCTCTATTACCTCCGAATGCACCACTGCTGGGTCCTCCCCGCTTTCTACCAAGCTGTGCCCAGGGCTCTACAGATGCTGGGGCTTCGAAACACCGTGACCTCAGACATCAGGCTAATAAGACAGAGTGGGTTACACCACCCATTCAGGTGCATACCAAGAAGCAAACGCCTCCTCCCAACACGGGATGCCAAACTAAAACACCAGGCTTTCCGCAGCCTGCTTCCCTGAATCCTACCAGTTCAACCCATGCCTAGCTTTTCGTTTTTCAACACAGACAGGTCTTATTTTTATAAGAAGTGTAGATGTTCAGACACTGCGTTCTCAAGTGACGCTTCTATTTTGTGAGTGTAACAGTGATTTGTACAGGACCATCCTTTTAGGCAAGCATAAACACTATGATTCCACATATGAGAAATTGCAGGAATTACAAATCTAATTAAAAAAGCAGATCAGGAGTTTCTTGAAGCTGGGATTTGGGGGTGAGGATTGACTGATGAGAAGTATGAGGGAGTCTTCTGAGTGATGGAAATGTTCTACATGGGTACGTGGGGACATACATTCTGCGAAATTGACTGTATACCTAAATGTATGCATTTCACCGTATGTAAATTATACTTCAATAAAGTTGATTTTTTTTAAAGCTTTAAAAAGTGATTACTTCACCTGGCATGCCCTCAAGCTTGCCTCCACTCAGTGGGGAGCTGTAAAACAGGGGGGCGGACCACAGGCCAATAAGCCAAGCACGAAATAGTGCAGATGTCAAGAATATGACAGCACACAACACGGTCTGTGTTGGCGTCTCAGAGAGCCTTCTGTGAAAACAGGCACTTAGAGGCAGAAGCATCTGACGGCTTGGCCTGAACTGGGGCTGGAATTTTGTGATAAAGGAAGGTCACTGATGAGTAAAGCCAGTGAAAAGGCAAGAAGCAGAGGAAATTGAGGCTAAAAGTACCTGATGCACTTCGGGAAGAAGGTCTGCCCTTCTGGTTTTATGATAGCCCCCAGACAAAGTCCATGGCCAGAGCTAAGAAAAATGATTGCACAGCCTTCCAAACAGGCATCATATTTCATTAGTCTCTAGTTCTTTTCTTTTCATCTTTCTCCCTCCATATTCTTTCGCCACAATCCAAAATGCTGAACAAATCAGAAAAACACTTTCTAATCTCAAATGACCCAGGCCTGAATTAGGACAAACCCCCATACTGACAGCAAGAACAAGTTACTCTCGGCTTCCCTTCAGACAATCCCAGGAGTAACTGCGAAATGTGTCCATCCCTCTGCCAATAATCCCAGATATGTCTTCCCTAATCGCTAACTCCAAGCTTTACACTGAAGAAATGAGACGTGTAAGGGAGAACACCTTCAGAAAATGAGAACTACGCTGCCACCTTCCCCAGCACACATTACCTGTCTGCACTAACAAAGATAATCTCAAATTTCTGGCCTGCCTCCTTGATCTTCCGGTAGGATTCCACCAGGACCCGGGTGAGGCTTCGGCAAGGTGGACACTGAAAGACAAGAGTGGGATCCTGTAGGGTGACTTTACACCTTCAATATCCCCTTTCCCAGCCACTTGCCATGAGAGGCCAGGCAAACAAGACCCAAGTAGGTTTGGGATGGCAAAACCTGGTTTATGAGAGGCGGAAACAAACGTGCCTCTTATAATGGCAAGCATCCAGCACAGGCTCCTCCCCACCCCTCACAGTGTGCCGACAGGCAACGGTCAAAGGAACCTCTTCAGGGAGCACTAGAAGCCTCATCAAAACGAGTTAGGAAAGCTATCCTTTTAGACCTATCAAAAGAAGTCATTTTCTTGCTGCTATTATGATTCATAATAATAAGCACTTATTGCACGCCAACAAGGCATTATGCACAGGAGAGAGGAAGAATGCCGGGAAATTATGCCCACACAGTCCCACCTCCAGAAGCCAGTCACAATTGGTCTTCGTGGAGACATCACCGTTTCCTTCTGCCTGGGCCAAAGAAGAACCAAACACTCACCCAGTGTGCGGAGAAATAGACTCCCACGTGAGACCCCTCCAGGCTGCTGCTCTCCAGAGACTGCCCATTATTTCTAAGTAAGGGCCCTGCAATGACTTCCCTGAAGGGTTTAGGTCCCCAAGGGAATTCCAAACCTGCAACAGGCAACAGATGGCGAGAATGTTAAGACTCTTCATTGTGTCCTCTGACCCAAGAGGCCTCAGGGCTGCAGAGCATAACAACTTTATCATCAAATAGTCTTTAACACACCCATAGGGTGTGCAGCTAAAAATACAGGAATAAAAGCAAAACTCATCCATGGCAGAGCCCTACCTCAAGGCAATGGTTCTTGAACCTGTATGATCACAGGGCCCAATCTCCTGCAGGGCTTTCGAGGAATACAGAAACCCAGCTCACACCCCAAGTCCCAGGATCCAGGGGCAAGGTTGAAGCTGTATGTCCAAAACAAAGCGAAACGGACTCTCCCAGTGCCTCTGATGCGCCAAGCTGGGGAAGCACTGCCTCAGATACTAACCTTGAATTTCTTCAATTCCAATCCTGGAATCTCCGTGGATCTCAACTCTGACTATATTTTAGAATCTGCTGGGGAATTTTTAAATCAGCTGGGCCCCACCTCCTAGAGATTCTAGTTCAGACGGTCTGGGTTGGGGCCCAGGGAACCAAGTAAGATGAGAATTTAAATCTATAGAAAGGAAAGAGTAAAACTCACTCAACCCAGATGGTCTACATTCTGATGACACTTAAGCCCCAGGCAGGAAAAGCAAATAATATGTTCTCAGCTCAACAGAACAGTGTTTTCTCACAGGGTGGTCCATGGACCACTTCCTCAAAATCGCCTGGAGTGGGGGAAGGATGGGAGGGAGAAGCACAGACTGGTTAAAGATGCAGGTGGCCAAGCCCACCCTGAACAAATGGATCTGAAAATCTTGGGAGTAGGGAAGAAATCTGCATTTTAATAAGTTTCAGAGTAGTGCGTGCGTGCGTGCGTGCACGTGTGTGTGTGTGTGTGTTTAAATTTGAGAAAGTAAAGACTTGGTTCTACCATGCCCTGGGTTTTACTGAGGACAATTCTTTGACACAGGTGAAATTTTTACTGGGGAAATTTGTGACCATGCTCGAATCCTTGCATTGGATCAGTAAGTGAGGAGGGAAGATCTTCTGACCCTTTTATGACTCCAGTGCAAGGGAGAGAGAAACAGATGTTGGACAGCCACTGGGCAGGGTGAGCTGAGCAACCTACCAATGTATAGCTCTCCACCCAGCTGGCCATCAAGACCAAGGCCTGCAGGACTTGGGCAGCACCAAGAAATGAGGTGCACTCACTGCTGAGACCAGGAGAGCAACAGAGACTGCAACTTTGCTATGGTAATGTATTAAAAGAAAAAAAAAAAAAACTCCGCAAATCACTTAGCCTATCTCTAATTGTTAAGGTGACTGCTGCCACTGAAACAGCACTAGAAGTCAGTATCTGAGCTCTAGCTGGTTCTCAACAGCCTCCTCAGCCCTCAAAGCTAAACTTCCTTTTTCAGATTCCATCTCCTTTGGCCCATGAATTAAAGCTCCCAGGAGGGACATTCTGATCCCTTTAAAAATCTTAACCGTGACCTAGAGAATACTATAATTTCATCAAGACAATACTCTTTAGCCAAATAAACCCACTTACATGTGCAGTTGACCCCTGAACAACATGAGTGAACTGTGTGTGTCCATTATACAAAGATTTTTTTCAACTGACGACTTGAAAAAACTCATGGATGAACTGTGTAGCCTAACGCAGATGATGTAAACTTACGGTATCGATAAATACAGTACACTACTGTAAGTGTATTTTCTCTTCTTTATAATTTTTTGTAATTTTCTATTCTCTAGCTTACTTTTTTATAAGAATACATTATATAATACATATACGAAATGTGTGTTAATCAACTGTTTATGTTATCAGGAAGGCTTCTGGTCAACAGTAGGCTATTAGTAGTTATATTTTTGGAGAGATGAGAGTTATATACAGATTTTTGATTGCGCAGGAGTCAGTGCCCCTAACTAAACTCCACGTTATTCGACAGTCAACTGTATTTCATTTGTACACTGTCTAGCAAAGGGGAGGAGGTCAGGGTAGCAGGACGGAAGGAGGAATACAGGATGGATTTGCTAAGGTCTCACCTTCTGGGTCATCACGGATCACCAGCAGCCCATTCCTACACACGACCTTCCCAGTGGTGGCGTCTAGGAATATTAGTGATGGAATGTTGGAAATTCGATATTTGTTCCAAAGTTTAAGCTGTAAGAAGAAAAGTTAAAAGAAGTTGGTTAAGTCCAAACTGAATTAATTGCAGAGTTCTTTTGAACCCCTCAGGCCTGAGGGTAAATGGCCTGGAAAACACTAAAGTACAGATAAATGAATAAGTGATTAAAAGCAGGGCTGGCTAGGCAAAATGGATAAGTGAAGCTACAACCTCACTTGTCCCTGTGGTCTATGACAGGGGATCCTGTGTCTGAGTCCCACCCTGGCACCAGCCGTGGCAGAGGCTGATGGGAGATGGACGACACCTATTCTAGGAAAGCTATTCTCTCTTAGCTCTCCCCTGGGCACTTTCTCTAACAAACATGAAGATAAAGATGGATTATGCATCTTTCAAAGGTAGTGACACCTCTGCTAGGTGGGGAAGGCAGGAGGGGAGGCTTTTTATTGGTGCCTCTCCACCCTATCAGCAGGCAGGTACTCCCCTGCCCTGCTATGTCCCCTGAACCCCAAGAGGGAAGAGAGAGGGTATACAACAGAAGACAAGTAGTTAAAATCTGCCCCTCTCACCACCTCACCCTGGAATATCGGCAGTCTTTATAAGCATGTGCTATTCAGCCAGCAAATATTAGGGAGGCAATATCCTGTGCCAGCCCCAACCCTCAGCTCTCAGTGCCACTCGAGACAATCCACAATCTATTGGGAGGTTCTTGAGGCTGACTGTGCATACTGCCACAGAACCATGTCTAAGTGGGGTGAGGCTGAAGAAACATGAACCCAACAGCCCAGGGCTAGGAGCCAAGTATGTGCAGGCTCCTCTGCTCGTGGATGTCTGGGTGAACACTGCTCAGGTGGGCCACTGGGTACTCAGGAACTTAACTGCCAAGTCCAGAAAATAACATAATTAAATGAAATGTCAAGCTACCAATTCACCTCCGGGAAAGAAAGAAACAAGGATAAACTGAAGAATGGCCCATTGGTGATTTAGCTGCGAGCCTCCTTTCCAGGACTGGGGCCCAGACAGGAGGCCACTGACCGGGGCACGGGCAGAAGAGGGCATGGTTATGTCAGAGAAAACAGGCATCAGAAGTCTAGCTGCATACAACAGAGGGAAATGCATGTGTGGTTGTGATTCTTATTGTTTTTAACTCGATCCCAGGCAGCAAGGGAATTGGGCAGTGTATCTGCCAAGAAATGTTAGGATTCCCCTGTGTGTGTAGACTTGGGTCTTGGCAAGAAGGGTTGTGGGACCCCACCTCAAAGTGGGTGGGCCCTGCTTTTGCCTGCATGTTTTTCACAGCTCCATCTTTCCAATGGGCTCCCTAGCCCAGGACCTCAGAACAAGAGGGACTCCACATATACACTTTTCAATGACTAGCATTGCATCATCGCAGAAAAAGCTAATAAAGGATTCAGAGTAAACATTCTTAAGAGAAGAGGTTCAACAACAGAACAAGACCATGTGTTGCTGGGATTAACTTCACAAGTTGGCTGGTGCAAAGATTTAACTGGGTTAATTTAACAACAAAAAGGAGGTAAAAAAGAAAGATTAAGGTTATGAGATTTTTCTGGCTTAAAAAATAATTATTGAGGGAACAAGTAATTATTAAAAAAAAAAAGGAAACATAGCATACCACAAAAATTGAGATAAAAATCACCCATGACTCTTAAAGAGGATCAAATATATGGTAGCTGAAGGAAACTGGACTTTGGGTGGTGAACACACAATAGAATATACAGATGTCAAATGATAATGTACACCTGAAAATTATATAATTGCATTAACCAATGTTACCCCAATAAATTAAAACAAAATTACCCATGACTCACCACCTATGACAGCTTACACAATTTTATATTTTCACCAGTGGCAAATAAGAGTGCCTATTTCCTAGTACCCTCAGCAACATCATCACCAACCTTTAGTTTTTCCAATTTTATAGGAAAAAATGACACTGCATTTTGGTTGCTTATCTTTTCCTTATTGATGTTTAGGCACATATAGCACTGTTATAAACAGACTGTTTTAACCCTCAGTTCTGTAACTGGTTAAGTACTGAAATTCATTCAACAGATATTAATTGAGCATCTATTATGTTCTAAGCACAAGGGATACAAGAAAGAACAAGGCAGATGAAGCCACTGCCTTTGCAGAGCTTCTATTCTAGTGGGAGAGACAGAGAATACAAGCAAGAATACAAATAATAATTTTAGGCACTTATAAATGATAAAAGGAAAACAGAGCACTCATATGGGGCCAGGCACAGGCACTGGCTGACCTTGCCTTGCACCAGAGCCCCTCCCAAGAGGCCCCAGAACCAATACACCTGGTGGCCAGCTTCAGACCACACCAGAGCACTACCCAACCACCTCCACGAATGACATTCCCAAAGGGCAGACTTAGCAGGCATTGGAGTCCTGCTAAAGTAAAATCTACTCTGTGGGGTCAGCCCCTGCACAACAGCTCCTCCACCATAGTCACGACCATTTCTCACAGCCAATCAGCCTGAGGGTCAAGCTCTCCCACTGATGTACCAACAGCAATCAAGGCTCATATACAAAAGGAGGGCACACACAAGCCAAACAAGGGACACACCTGGAGCAACCAGCTCAGGTGACAAAAGAGACTACACCACTGGGCCCCATAGGACACCTACAATAAGGCCACTCTACCAAGGCTGGGAGACATAGCACATCTACCTACTACATAGAAACAAACACAGGGGTCAGCTGAATGGATAAGAAAACAAAAATCGTGTCCCCTTTCAAATGGAAGAACAGAACAAAACTCCAGAAAAAGAACTAAACAAAATGGAGACAAGCAATCTACCAGATGCAGAGTTCAAAACACTACTTACAAGGATGCTCAATGAACTTAGGGGAAGAGTAGATGAACTCAGTGAGAACTTTAAGAAAGAAATAGAAAACATAAAAATGGATATAGAAAACATAAAAAAAGGACCAGTCAGAAATGAAGAATACAAGAACTGAAAGGAAGAATACATTAGAAAGAATCAACAGTAGATTAGATGAAGAAGAGGATTGAATCAGCAAGATTTGGAAGACAAGGTAGCGGAAAACACCCAATCAGAGCAGCAAAAAGGAAAAAAACTTTAAAAAGTGAGGATAGTTTAAGGGGCCTCTGGGACAACATCAAGCATACCAACATTCACATCATAGCGGTACCAGAGGAAAAGGGAGGCAGCAAAGAACTGAAAATCTATTTGAAAAAATAATGACAGAAAAATTCCCTAACCTGGCAAAGAAAACAGAAATATAAGTTCAGGAAGCACAGAGAGTCCCAAACAGGATGAACCCAAAGAGGCCCACGCCAAGATACAACACAATTAAAATGTCAAAGATTAAAGACAAAGAAAGAATCTTAAAAGCAGCAAGAGAAAAGTAGTTAGTTACATTCAAGGGAGCACCCATAAGACTGTCAGTTGATTTCTCAACAGAAACTCTGTAGGCCGGAAAGGACTGGCAAGAAATATTCTAAGTGATGAAAAGCAGGGAACTACAACCAAGATTACTCCACCTGGCAAAGCTATCACTGAAGAACAGATAAAGAGCTTCCCAGACAAGAAAAAGCTAGAGTTCATCACCATCAAAGCAGTATTACAAGAAATGTTAAAGGGAGGAGGAGGAGGCCAGGAAGGGGAAGAAGAGAAGGAGGAAGGGGGAGAGGAAGGGAAGGAAAGGAGGAGGAGAAGGGGAGAAGAAGGAAGAGGGAAAAAGATAAACTATGAATAATAAAACTATGAATAATAAAACGGCAATAACTACATATCTCTCAACAATTACTTGAGATGTGAATGGATTAAATACTCCAATCAAAAGACATAGGGTGTCTGAATGGATAAGAAAACAAGATGCTTACAAATGATGCCTACAAGAGACTTACTTCAGAATGAAAGATACACAGACTGAAAGTAAAGGAATGAAATTTTTTTTTTCCATGAAAATGGAAATGAAAAAAAAAAAAAAAAAAGCTGGGGTAGCATACTTATACCAGACAAAACAGACTTTAAAACAAAGGCTATATAACAAAAGACAAAGAAGAATCCAGTAATTCCACTTCTGAATATTTATCTAAAGAAACCCAAAACACTAATTCAAAAAAATATATGCACCTCTAAGTTCACTGCAGTGCTATTTACAATAGCCAACATATGGAAGCAATGTAAGTGTCTATCAAGAGACGACAGAATAGAGAAGAAGTAGTACATATATACAATGGAATATTACTCGGCCATAAAGAAAAATGAAATCTTACCATTTACAACATGGATGGACCTAGAAGGTATTATGCTAAGTGAAATAAGTCAGACAAAGACAAATATCATATGATTTCACTTATATGTGGAATCAAAAAAACCAAAATAAACCAACAAAGAAAATGGAAACAAACTCATACATACAGAGAATATTTTGATGGTTGCCAGATGGAAGGGGTTGGAGAGATAGGTAAAAAAGAGGAAGTAATTAAGATGTGCAAATTGCCAGTTACAAGCATAGTCACAGGGATGTAAAGAACACCATGGGGAACATAGTCAATAATATTGTAATAACTATGTATGGTGTCAGATGGGTACTAGACTTATCGGGGTGATCACTTCATAAGTTATACGAATGTCTAATCAGTATGTTGTATACCTGAAACTAATATAATAATGTATGTTTACTGTAATTGAAAAATAAATTATTTTTAAAAAGGAAAACAGAGCTGAGTAAGAACAAAGCGTGCTGGGGGAGTGGTACATATTTTAGGGGTTATCTGGGAAGGCGTCTTGGAAGAAATGACATATAGATACCAATAATGAGCAAGCCACGCATGCATTAGGGAAAGCCATGTGAAGGCCAGGGAACCTGCGCAGAGGCCAAGAGGCAGAGTGGGGAAGGCCGGAGTGAATGGAGCCAGATAAAGCCAAGGAGGGGAGGTCGGAGGGCAATCATGGACCAGATTTTTAAGGCCCATTGGTAAAAATAATGGAATTTTATTTTAAGTGTAATATGTTAAGGTTAGTGGGGAGTGAGAT